CACGCGCGCACACGACACACACACACACACACACACACACACACACGCGTGTTCAGCGCGTTTCATATCGTTAGCGACTGCTTAGAACACACCGGAACTTCACCATCCGCCGCAGTTTGCGGGCAATTTCATTCTCTGTCATGGAAAATTTATGCAAATCGCCGGACGGAGTCGAGCGGCTATAATGAGTTCGCGCGGTATCATCCGATTTTGGATAGCGAGGAAGTGCACTCGACTCTCTGAGGGGTGGTGAAGATAGATCGCAACGGGAGAAAAGCTTTCGTTACTGTAGCCGCCAATGAAAACGTTTCTCCCGACTTAAATCAATAGTAATAATAAGAATAATGGACCACTACGTAAAATCTAATATTTGAAATCTTCAAGTTGAAAAACGTACTGCTCTCGCAACGAAGTAAATAGATTATACCGAATGAATTTTTTATTTTTTTTATACATAATAAAAAAATTAGCATATACTTAAAAATATTTGATTAAAATTTAATGCTTAAAAATTTCTATTCATGATTTTAAAATTTATTAAATATTTTATATGGAAAAGACTTTCAAATTTGTTTTAAATTCCTTATACAGTTCAGCAAATTATAATCTTGCAAATTATATACATAAAAATGAATATATTAACAATTCTTGTATCTTTTTTTTAAGAGAATTGTTTATTTTTCAGTGTATTTTTAAAGATACCAATTTAATAATTTACGTCGGTCGATGAATCTTGTAATTAAAGCATCATAATTAATGCACCGTCATAATCAAAAGGTGAAAGTAGGAATTTCCTTTCTTTCTTCTTCTGTCTACATCGGATTTGAAATGATAGTTAAGATGATTTTGAGAAAAATAATAAAATATCAAAAAAAAAACGGAATAAGCAATTTTTGAGGGAAATGAAATAAAAATACTATGTTATTTTTGTCCAGTAAAGATTAAAATGTTTTTTTAACAAAAACAAAAAAAGAAAAATGTTTATTTGAGAAAAAAAGAATTTCAATTGTTTAGTACTTAAAGTTTACGTTAAATAATATTATATATATAAAAGAAAAGTCTTGCAAACGTGAGTATTAATAAATTGTGTTGTAATCAACATGCGGATGATAGGATAAAGTGCTTTGTTATGTTGCGAACACAAATAATTCCTGCCGATACGAATTTTCAAACATTTTGGAACGAGTAGATGTAAAACGCGATGAAAAAGCTATCGCACAATGTATAACGATGTATTTATCGACAATTCCTATTCATAGCGCGTGTAGCTGTATTATTCCAGCAAAATACTACACTGTATTATTCCAATAATTATCTTGACTTCATTTTGCCATTTATATATAGAATCGCTAAAATAAATTTATTGTAGCAAATATTTAATGAGGAAGAAAGCGTATCGCGGGATTATCACGGATGATGTTACGTATGTCATCGCAAACATTAACGTGAGTTAAATCAGTACATATTAATTTGGTAATTCATTGCTTTTTGATTCATTTTTGATCGCACACGTACATACAAACATGTATGTACATATCTATAATATTGGTTAATAGTAATTAGTAAAATATAAAAGTAAATCATGTTAAAAAATAAAAGGATGTATATATAAACTTTTATCTCTCTGTGTAGCTCTGTGAGAAACTCTCCAAATTGACTTTTCAAAATGAGTGAAATGACTTTGTGAATAACATTTACCAAATGTTTAATGAATTTCTTTTTATTAACTTTAGTGCTCTTCAATTTATTGTAGAATAAAAATATGTTTTTTTCACAAGATGAATACTCAAAAGTACGCACTTTTGGTGCATTTTCAGCTTCCTAAGCTCGAGGGCACACGCGTTTACCTCTTTTATCGCGGAATGCCCGAGAATGCAAAGCACCGGCGTCATTTTCACCCTATTTTTCCCCTCTTCACACTTTTTTCGTGAAAAAAAAAAACGCGGACTGGGTCACGCCGCACTTGTTCGCGGCCGGTAGGAAATAGTTAAAGCCGCCCAGACACGGACCTCTCTCGTGGCCACGATCATCGTGGCTACATCCAAGTTGAAGTACACAAAGTTATCTCACAAAAGGCAGCTTATTATCTTGTTCAACTTTGTAAAAGTCTTTTAAGTGAAATCAAACAGCTTTTTCTCCGTAGTATTAATATTTAGATGACTAATAAGAATTAAAAATGATGTAGCTAAAACAGGAAATTATCTTGTCAAATTTTTTATTTAAGCTTTTTATAATTTTTCTGTTTATAAATTAGAAAATAATTATAATAATAAATTGAAAAGAGTCTAAGAAAATATTTAATGATTTCTTAGAAGTAATTCTTAGCTACAAATAATAAACTACAAATAAAAGAGATATTACGCTATTATGTCTTTACATTATTTTGTCTCGTCTCATTTAATTATGTTAAAAAGAAAAATAATATTTAAAGATTATCCAAGCTCTGCTTTTTTTAAGGTATACGATTTTTCGTTTTTTTTTTTTTTTTTTTTTTTTATGATATCTGATGCGGATGGATCCTTTAATTATTCCTGCGGGACATTGTAAGCTTAATGGCAGGGCTTGTTGTTCCTGCTACGAAGGATTTGAAGAGATCGGGAGAGACCTCCCTGAAA